GGGGGGGGGAGACACCGAGAGGGAGGAGCACTGAGGGAGAAACGCAGGGACGCCCGGGCCAGCCCAGGCCCGCCCTGCCGCAGTCAGGACGCACTCATCCTGGACGTTTTTTAGGGCAATGAGGAGGTTGGTACGAATTTTTTCCATGCTCTACACCAAACGCTAACCCCAGGGGCTCTCTGTCCCAAAGGCTGCTCTCTACTCCACAGCACGTCCCAGTGCAACCTGACTTTCTCTGCAGCCCCTGAGAGAAGCACACAGGCTTGTGTTCATACTTTTTCTTTTTCACTAACAAGCATAAAAAATTGTAAAAGTAAGTAAATGTCCTGTGGGGTGAATTTTCATTCCTTTTCTGCAACATGCTCCTAATTAATCTGGTGTTGTGCCCGATGGCTTCCCCTGGCTTGTTCTAAAGAGATGTAGAAATGGCTTATAAAAGCACAAACAAAACAAGATAGAATATAGATTCTCAAAATCTTGTTACTGTATTCTGAGCACTGTACTAAGGAACCAAGAGAAAGAAACAGTCCCCAAGGGAAATTATTAGGTTCTATGTTATGACCTGCCCTCCCATTGTCTCTGCTAACTATCAGGGAGCTTCCAAAAGCAGTTATATAGTATCAACACAACACAAGCGCCACATAATGACAAACTTCATAACGGGTTAACCAAGAGAAAGGAAGAGTAACATTAAATTCCTTGTGCACCCCCTTTACCTGCTGTGAGGAGTCCTCGAAACTGCTCAACCGCTTTGTCGGTGTCCACTTGGAAAAATTCCCAGAGCTGAATCTTTGGGAAAACATCCTCCCAAATTATTTTCCGAATGCACTGAAAATTTCAATAGTTAAAACATAGGTTTATATTTTTAAATCTCTGTACTAAAATATTATTTTGCAAATCAAAAGGCAGATTGTAAATAACTTTCAACCACGCATTTAATCTGTACTTGAGAAGTGTGGTTATCGTGTGTTAGCGTGTTACCGTGTTACCGTGTGTTAGNAATCAAAAGGCAGATTGTAAATAACTTTCAACCACGCATTTAATCTGTACTTGAGAAGTGTGGTTATCGTGTGTTAGCATGTTACCATGTGCTAGCGTGTTACCGTGTGCTGACGTGTTACTGTGTGCTAACGTGTTACCGTGTGCTAGCGTGTTACCGTGTGCTGGCGTGTTACCGTGTGCTGGCGTGTTATCGTGTGCTAGTGTGGTCGTCCTCTATACATACTGACATGCATCTGATGGTCGTTTTCGATCAGAGCGGGCACCCCTTTCTCCTTGTATTTCCCGTCTGCCACGTCGCAGGAGAGGTGCCACAGGGCTCGGTCTAGGACCCAGGCGGGTTTCAGGTGCGGAGAATTCACGAGGTTATAGGCACTTTCCGGATGTTTCTGGATCCATTTACTATTCGTAGCTTCAAGAAGAAGGAAACATAAGGGGAGTGGTCTTGTAGCAAACTGAAGTTAGTACGCACGTTAAGTTTAAAGGTGAAATCAAAAGTCACCATCGACGGCTCGTTTTCTTATGTATTAGACGTCAGTATTTTATAATGATATTGTCCTATGAAAAAGCATTTGGGTCATGGTGTCCCATCACCCGCTTCACCACCCACTGTCCTTCTGTTGTAGGAATCTTTAATTGGCAGCAGATAGGATGCAACACTGGTTTACTAACACCGTTGTAACCACCATGAAACTTAGTGTCACGATCTCATCTCTACTGTTCCAACCTCTGCAACATTCACCATTCCTATCAGTCCCTCCTTGATTGACAAAATCCCCCTTCCTTGATTTACATGCAAATACTTACATACTGATAACATATTCAACGAACACTTTAGTTTTCTTTCAAAGAAAAAAGTGATATTACATAAGGTGATTTTTAAATTGAAGGGCACCTAAGCATCATTTGTGTTTCCAATGTTATATGAAACTTTAAGGAATGAAAAAATTGGAATATAATATTTTTGTCAAAATGGCAGTTCACAAAGCTCATACCAGTGTGATTGTAGACAACATCGGTAATACAAAGAATATTCCATTCCTTTTTCAGTTTTTCCACCAGCTGCCCAACGTCATCCCAGGTATACTTTTTATTAGGTCTTGAAAAGTCAGGATTTAATGCCAGCTGGTCTGCAAGGGAGTAGCATGACCGCGACTGCCCGAGGGCCTGCAAGGGGGTAAAGTGAATCATGTTGTAACCTGCAATGCAAGAAAATGAACAAAAATCACTGTTAAAATCAAACACAAAACCTAAAACTAGGCAAAATACAACTTCCTTAACTAATTCTAAACAGGAAGGCAACTGTGGTGCTAGAGAGGAGTCAAAGACTTGGTTCAGGCTTGAGCCATACCACAGGTGACTTCAAGCACGTCCCCCTAAATCTCCTAGGACATCAGTGTCTTCATACACAAGATAGAGATAATGAGACGATGTATTTGAAAAAAAAATCACACACAGTGTCCAGTGTCTATTAAAGGTTCAATGTATATTTGTTGAATGGATACATTTGCAAGTAGAAAATACATGCCATGCAAGTATATAGCATGTCTTTATAAGCATGTCTTTCTCTTGCTTTCAATGTTCCACAATACTTGTATTCTGTTTTAGTTATGACTTTGAACCTCTCATTTATTTCTTCACAACATATTCAGCTTGAAAGCAGAAAATATGACCCTTTATTGAAGCGTAAAATACAACTTAAGTTTCATTTTACTCTTGGTATGTATGTCAGCCTTCCAAGCATGCCTTCCACACAGAAGACAGTACTTGTTGAATTAAAGTTATATATAACGGTAATACATTTTCCAAACACACTTTAATAGTGTACTGCTAATCTTTATATGTCAAAGTAAAGTCTTAGAAACAATAATGATCTTACTTTGTACTTCATTTAAGTTGAACCATATCTATAATCTGTCATTATTATAGGTTAAATATGGTCAGGTATCAACAATTTCATATAGTTCCATCTCTTCATATTACTAAATATACTAAGAAACAAAGTTAAAAGGAGAACCAAAGCCTTTGAAATCTGTATCACAGACAATAAAATGACGTTTCTCTTTTAAAAGGAGAAAAGAAAGGAAGCTGACATTACCTGACTCTTTGGCGACCCTAAGCCGGCTTTCCCATTCGTCAAAGGGCCCCAGACACTTGGCTAAAAAGGTCTGGAGAGTAACGCAGTCCAAGGGCAACACCTGGTCATCAGCGCCCACACGTAAAATGGGATCCACAACTATGTAACCCTCACCGCTCTTCTCATTCCTAAGGAAAGAACACAAAGCAAAAGCCTCTCCATCAGCGACAGGGAAACACCCTCCCCTAGCAGCCTGGCTCATTCTCAGCTACATTTCTAAGCACATGAAATCACTTAAAAAGTTGTAACAAAACGCAACAAAAAAAACACGTTGTCTCCCTTTCCAACCTTTTCATAGTAACATAACACAACACACATGATGCCCACTAATGGCGCTTTAAGAAAAAATAAGCGCGCTAAAATCCCTCGGTAGGAACAAGGGCACCCAAATACGCAGCATCCTAGAATCAGGTTGCGTGGAAAGACTACAGTATTTAAGCTGTTGTTTAAAAAATAATAATAATGCCCGGCCGGTGTGGCTCAGTTGGCGGGGCGTCGTCCTGTGCGCCGAGAGGTCGGCGGTTGACTCCCCGTCGGGGCACATGCTGGGGTGCAGGCTCCATCCCCACTAGGGGCGTGCAGAAGGCGGCCCATCAATGACTCTTCTCATCGCTGTTTCTATCTCTCCCTCCCTCTCCTTTCTCTCTCTCTAAAATGAATAAAAACATAATTTTAAAAAATTATAAAAAACAATACTTTGAATCTAGAATGACCCCTCCAATCACCTCCTCGAACCGCATTCTGTTTAACATCTCAGGATATTCCTGTAACAGCTGCAACGCCCTGGCTGCTATGGTAACTTGTCACAAACTGGATTACCTTAAACGATATTCTAAAGTAAGTTCCCTCTTCACACCTGAGCGGGGGCTTACCCCTGAAGGAAGTGGTACTGAAAGGACCCGGCCTGTTGAAGGTGAAGGGCACAGTGCTTATCAGAATCGTCTTCTCTTCCCGATGGGTGTTCCCATTGCAGGGAGCGGAATTTTTCTCGATGAAATGTTTGCCCGGGAAGCGGGTAATTTGTATGCACGGTAACTGCTTTTCCCTGTAGCGTCGGGCCCAACCGAAACTGCAGTTCAAACCCTGAACAAAAAGCACATTTTCATAGACTTTCATTGTGGGACTTAAACGACCTCATTAACAAAACTGATGTTTCAGTTAAGGTATCACAAGAGCTATGACTTCCCAGCTACGTTTAACAAAACTCCACATACGTAATGCCGTCTGGGGAACTACTCTGCCTCCGGTTCGGCTGGGTTTTGTATTTTAACATACAGTACACATGGTATAACTGTGTGCTCTCTCCTGTCCCGCCCACTTCCCCTGGCCCCTTCTGGCTCCCACCCCCACCCGGAACTGACTGCCCAGCACTGGCCATGTGACCAGAGGCCTTGGCTAGTATTTTTTAAACTGCAACAGAGAAGCGAGTTTCTCTGTGGGGTTAGAGTATGTGACCGTCTGTAAAACACGGAGGCGTCACGGGACAGCTCTCTCGCCGTCTGGAGGGAGCCAGTCTCCCGAGAGGAGCCCACCTCTAGGGAGGCAGAAGCCAGGGTCTAGCAGGAGTTCTAGGGGCCTCTGAGCCCCCGGGGCCGGCTGATTTCTGCTCCGATCCCAAGGAGTGGGAACAAGGGGTCAGTAGGTGGCTGGGTGGGGAGCGGGGCTGGGTGACCAGGAGCTCCGGTTTGCAGTTCGCTGACCACCAGGTGCAACCAGTCTGGCCACGGCCCAGCTCAAGCTACCAGGACATCACTGAATGGGGAACAGGCACCCTCGGCTCTCAGAGCCCCTCGAATGGCTCCAGCAAGCCCCCGCCTGCACCCCCACTCCTCGCGGTTCAGTTACTTAAGCCTGTCCACACTACACTTATGAAGACATGGACTGAGAAATGATTGTCTGAAGAATTAAAATCTAAGGTTTCCATGCTCGGTGGCCATGAAATATCTACATCCCTGCAAGAACGACTAAATCCGTCCCAGAGGAAACCGTGGCGTTCCAAACAGGTACAAGGTGAGCGGCCTGAGCATATTTAAACAACCTGTCCCCACTCGGTTTATGCAAATATTGTTTTTATAATTACACAAGGATTCGGGGTACAAAGGTCAAGACATCCAAATACTCTACAGCGGCATTTGGACCAGTGGTCTATATTCAGGAAAGCATTCTCCAAATGTGCATATTTAGTTTTTCATGCAATGTAATGCCCGATGCTTGAATATATTGTGTAAATTATAAAACACCAAAATAGGGGTAAGATGTAAATAAGATAAACACTATTTTCATAACTAATTTTATTTATTAACGGATGGAAGAATCTTTTAACTCTCACTAAAATTTAATATGGACCATATCGGTCTGTGAAAGGAGTGTGATTAAATACATTTCATTCATTTTAAACATCTTGTGATAAAGTAATTTAAAGACTCCAAGTTCTGTTTATTTTGGAACTTGGTTTAATGGCCCCAGATTTGAAAAAACACCACGCAGAGATACCCAAGCCCAAACAGAAGGAGCTCTTCTACCGTAACTTGCACAATACGTCGCCCTCACGACGCAACCTTTTGTATCTTTACAAAAAGACTCTACCACTTAGGATAGTACAACGCCTGCGTGACCCGGCTCGGGTAAAGTATAATTAATCTGTGGCAACACACGGCGCGCGCCAGTGATGGTGAGAGCCTGAGCCACTTCCAGACCTACGGCCTCCTGACACACAAACTGAAATTACCATCGTCAGCTCAAGTACCAGCAAAATGGAATTACTTTTCACTTCAATCCTCACCTGAGGATACGTTTTTATTGATTTGAGAAAGGAAAGGAGAGAAAGAGAGAAACACTGATCTGAGAGAGAACCTTCCATCAGCTGCCTCCTGTATGCACCCCGACTGGGGATCGAACCCGCAACCTTTGGGTGCACAGGACGATGCTCTGACCAACCCAGCCACACTGGCCAGGGCTTGAGTTACTTTTTAAAAATAAATATAGATAGGTAGACAGGGGGAGAGAGAGAAAGGAAAAAGACGGAAGAAAAGAAAGATGAATCCTCGAGTTTCTTTCTATGTCCCGACAGATCAGGGCATCCCCCAAGGGTACAGAGCCACTCCGCAGGCTCCAATCCCAGCTCCTGAAACCGAAATTCTTCCGTACAGTAAATGAAGCACTGGAATACTCAGGGTATGTCGGATTCCATGACGAGTCGCAGGGTTTGCTAAAATTAGCTTGGGCCCCAGCAGCACACGGTGTGCCCGTCCTGTTCCGCACACCAGGGCCCCTCCTGCGGGCAGCTGGCAGGGTGACCGATGCAACTCTCGTTGTCAGCTAAGTTTTCCACCGCGTTCCCTCCACTCCGCTTACACAGACTCGAGCTCCGAACCGAGGAACCTTTATAAATAGTTTCTTCACGAAAACTAAAAACCGAACTTTGACCGACCTGTGTGAGGGATGGAGGGAGTCCAGGTGTGGGGAACACGGATTCTGTTCACTGCTCTGCCACTAAGTGAGACAGAAAAACAGGGAAAGGCTCTGATCCGGCCAGAAAAGACAGTTGCTTGGTCTTGGACTTGCTGAATTAGAGGAATCTACAGAGATATTAGCCTTATCAATGAGGAGGAACCCTTTTGCAGGGAAAAGCGAAAAGGAAAGAAAAAGTGAAGAAAGGCTTGGTAACCGGTTAAACATGAAGGAACCAAAAATTGCCAGCTTTGCTTTTTTCTCCCGTACTTAACTGGTTGCCGAGTCCTAACACTGTGAAAACGTCTCACACTCTGCCCCCCTTTCTCTCCTCTGGTGGAGTTAAACCCCCCTCCTTCCCCGGGCACGTTTTCTCAGTGATTTCCGGTGCCTGGTGCTCCTTCTCTTCACTTTCCACGTTACGACAACCTTGTAAAACACTATGATCAGATCCGTACAGCACAAAAACACTGGCTATGTTCCCATTTATACCACTGGGATGAATTTACTGGTTTTAACTAGACTAAGAGTCAACCACATGGCTCTTAGTTTATAAACCTCCCCAGTCCCCCTCTGCAAGTTGCTTGGCTGGATTTACAGTTTTTGCTTGCTTGAAAAACGGTTCGGCAGTCGATCCACAGAGACTCATTAACTGTTGTCCGTGGGGTCTGTAGTACTGTAAGATCGTCGACTCTAGTCCGACACTCCAAGAATAACAAGCTTTTAGACACTGCCTCGCGGTTCAGCCCCACTGTGTAACCAGAAATCACAGAGAACGGTAGGAAACCGTGCAGACTTCCCGGAGGAGGTGGGGCTCCAGCCGAGGGCTGGGAGGTAGGGAGCACACAGAGTGACGGGAAAGGGATCTCAGTGAGTGGAAGTGTAAGAACCAGCATGAGAAAAGGCCCCGGGGGGAGGCGATTAACAAGGGAACTGCAAAAATGTAGGGCACCAATCACCGGGAGCAACAAGACACACTCTCACCCGGGGAAGGCCCATCTTCCAAAGGGAGTCACGGACGTGGAGGGGGCAGCGAGAGCATGAGGGTGGATAACTCTTCGAGGGCAGGAGAACAGAAAAATGAAAAAGGGCTCCTTGCCGGCATGTACGTACAACTAAGAGAAATGTGGGAGAAAAGAGCACAGCAAGAGACACCACCAAGAGGAAAAGAGCACTCGAGGGCAGGAGAAAATCAAAGCCAGAAAAGTGCAGTCAGGCAGCCGAAAATGGAGTGCTTGGTGATTTTAACAGTCAAAAAGGAAGGTGAAGGCTTGGTGTGGAGGGAACGCATTCGATGGTTGAAATTTTTTCAAAAATTTAACTCAAGATATTGGGGGCAAGGTTCCTTCAAAATGTTTATCAGTAACAACATCCATTTGGTAAATAAAAGGGGTCGCATTTTATTTCCCATACATGAAACTTCTCCTTCCCAAACTACATTGACAGAAGTAAGGGTGAAATGCTTTTTGACGCTGAAAAAAATTTAAAAGTCTAGGAAAATAAAACAGCTACTGAGTCAGCCTTATNTGACGCTGAAAAAAATTTAAAAGTCTAGGAAAATAAAACAGCTACTGAGTCGGCCTTACGGAAATATAACTGGATCTTTTAAAAGGCTCAAATACAATTCAACATGATCCTATCAGTTATTTCACTTTTTATTTGGCAAAAAAATATTTTCAGCTTTTACCTTTTCCACACTTGAGAGGCTTTTGATAAACATAAATAACAGTTTGCTTTCTTGCGGTGATCTATTTTACGAATTCAAAATTCCAATAAAGGAAAAGAGTAGGAGCTATAAATAAGCAACACTGCAGCTGTAGCCAAATTAAAATGACATATAAACCAATTTACCAACTCCTGTGTGAAGCGGGAGTCAGCATGCAAAGAAAAATGGACCATTTAATCCCTGTTTCAACGCGACTGATACAAAATATTCTCAACTGAAATCAGCTTTCATGACTGATCCTCTTAGAACCCAGCCCGGCCTGTGCAGAAATCAAGTTTCGAAGGGCCCTTGGAAACGATACCCGTCTTAAAGTTAAAAAACACACGTAGTATGACAACGAATTAAAAGATCCTAAAGACACCCAGCCACTGCGACTGACCTTGCTCAAGCCTGAAGAGGGTCTTCTCCAGCTTCTCCATTTCGTTCAGCAGTAAAATCCTGACCTGCTTACTGTGCCCCATTTTGGCGTCTACGGGATCTGAGGTCTCCCAGCAGAATGAAAAGAGCGCCGGGCTCGGGCGGGTGACCCCTGGAAGAAACGCGCCCGAGGAAAGTCAGGATAAAGAACAGCCGCCCCCCTGCCCGGCCCGGCGGCCGCACTTACATGTCCTGAGCTATTGTCACCCTAGCGGAGCAACGGGGGGCCGCCCAGGCCAGGGGAGGCCAGTGACAGAGGGCTTTGCGCTCCAGAAACACAGACGACCGAAGCAAAAATAGTTTTATAGATTCTTACGATTAAAAAACAAAACCCCCCCAAAAAGCAAAGCCCAGAGCAACGCGCTTTGGAAGCGGGCGGGCGGCGGAGCCCCAGGCCCGGGCTCGG